CCACCTCTGAACTAAGGAAACATTCTGCTACTTTTTCCCCCCTCACGCCAGCATGTATTGTATGACTGAGCCATAACCATGTGCTGAAGGTTGCTCTTCTTTTTTATCCCTTCCTTCCTTTACTTTTTTCTCCCTCCTTTCCTTCTTCCTCTCTTTTCTCTTTTCCTTCCTTCCTTTTTTCTTTCTCTTTTTTCCTTTCCTCTCTTTCTCCTTCTTCCTCTCTTTTTTCTTTCTTTCCTCCTTCCTTCCTTCTTTCCTTCCTTCCTTCCTCTCTTTCTTTCATTCCGGACCTCACTATGTTGCACAGGATAGTATCAAACTCTTGGGCTCAAGCATCCCTCCTGCCTCAGCCTCCTTAGTACCTGAGTCTACAAGCTCATCTCAGTCCCTCATCTCAGCTAATGGGTCCGTTCTGCTTCTCGTACCCATTAGCTGGTCATGATTGTCTGGCCTCTGAGTGCTGATTTGTCCTCTCCCTACATAACAGTATTTTTCCATTTCAAACTTTCTAGAGCCATTTTCAGCTTCAGATCTGAGGGAACATTTGCTTCACAAATGACTTTCAAATCAGTGGCATTTGATGCACTCCATATGCATACTGGCTGATATGATCCTTTTGGGCCTGGATTTTTTTTCATCTGTGGGGCATTCTGGGGTAACATCCATGGGTGAGTGAGTAGTCTAACTCCACTCCACTGCACTGGTATGTTGATAACCTTCCCTTGCATGTTCACAGCAAATCATACATATAAAACATATTCAGTGGGTATTGAAGCACAAGGAAGCAACAGGTTGGGAGCTGAGCGCTCATCAGTGGTCTTGGAGAAATAATGTGATGAGTCACACAAATGTGGAGGGGTGCCCAGAAACTTGGAGGATCAATTATCAGGGTCTCTATCAGGGTGTGGCAGGGACTGGATGTTCTTTGTCCAGTAGAAGTCTGGATTATCCTGCTGAGCATAGCTCTGAATTATTTAATCATGAAGGAAATTATTCATGCATAAATTCTATGTTGGTGATTTATTATTGATCCTTGTATTTAAAAAATTCTTTCCCTAGGATCTGACCACATGCCAGATGTCTAATAAACAACCCCAGGCTTCCAAAAACTCATCTATCAAACAAGTCAAGTGGCACAAGATTGTGATTGTGGGGTTACTCGCTGCAAGTTGGGTATTTTTCTTCCTATTTATCTCTATCCACTCAGAGAACTAGTTACTTTTGTCTGGGAAATTCTTTTGTTCCTGCCTATAATCCAGAAGCAGAAGCCTTATGACAGCACAAACTCTTAGGGAATGAGTAAAGAGAACCCTGGTTGCATAAGAAATAATACCACTAACAACAAATTGAGTCACATCAACTTACAAACCTTCTGTGCAGCAAAGGAAACCACCAATCAAGTGAAGAAATAACCTAGAGAATAGGGAGAAAAAACTTTGCCAGTTACTCCTCAGACAAAGCTGAGGCTAATATCTAAGCTATACAAAGAACTAAGTAATTACCCCCCAATTTAAAGACCCAATTAAAAAAATGGGAATTTGAAATGAATAGACACTTCTCAGATGACGAGCTATAAGTGGCCAATGAATATATGAAAAAGGCTCAACAGTGCTGGCCATTTGAGAAATGTAAATTAAAACAAGACTGAGATTCTACCTCACTCCAGAAAGAAGGAGCATTGTCAAGAAGCCAACTCAGGGGCTGGTGAGATGGCTCAGTGGTCTAAAGCACCTACTTAGAACAAGTTTAGCAAAGCACAGGGACCACGGTTCAATCCCCCAGCACCACATGCCAGCCAGCCCCGCCCCCTAGTGGGCTGAGCTGGCCACACACACACACACACACACACACACACAAAAAAATAAAAAAATAAATAAAAAATAAAAAAGGATTAAGGCTGTCACTCCATGGAAAGGCTCTGTGGTCAATCCCCAGTACAGAAAAGGGAAGGGAGGGAGGGAGGAGCGAGTGAGCAGCCTGAGCAGATCGTATCAGGTAGGGGCTTTGGCTAAGAGAGATCTAAGCACTAGGCCGAAAGAGTTTGCTAGAAAAGACAGAAGCCTAAGCTGCCCATGCTCTCGCTTTCTCCAGGTTGTTCTGTTCCTGCTCTAGTACAAATGGCTCACTTCCAGTTTTAAAACTGACAAAGCCCCCGCCACCAATTCTTTGTCTCTAAGGATACCTGGTGTCCCTACCTAGGCACATATGTAGAAAATTCCTTTTCTCCTTGATTCTGTTCAAGGAAAGTTGTCATTTCTCAGAAGGGGGCTCATTTCTCAGAAAGGAGCTCTAGCAGGGATAAATAGGACAACAGAGCAAACTCAAAAGTAGAAGCCTGTGTGTTAACAAATGACAAATCACCATATAAAATTAAATTACAACTGGCCTCAACCTGAATTGCATTCATAGAATCCTTTTCTGGGTGTTAGGTCAAACTCTTCAATGTTTAGATAAGCTAAAGCTGTTGCTGTGACCCATTCTGGTGAGTCTTAGAATCTTTTCTTTCTTTTTTCCTCCTTTATACTTATTGTAGTGAAACACAAGTAACATAAAATTGATCATCTAACCCAGTTTAAGTGTACATTTCACTGACATTAGACATGTTTATAATTTTGCCAAGTCATCCCCAACTTCTGTCTCCATAACTCTTTTCAGCTTACAAAACTCAAATGTAGCTGTGGACAGCAATCACCCATCCCCTCCTCTGCTCGGGCCCTTTCAACCAACATTCTGCTTTGTATCTCTGATTTTGAATACTATACTGACCTCATGTAAGTGAGAGGTCATTCAGTATTTATTTGGGGGGACTGGTTTATTTCACCTAGTATCAGATCCATATTGGAGCATGTGTCCAAATTTTCTTCCATTTTTGGGCAGAATAAGAGTCAGTTCTATGGACATAACCACATTTTACTTATCCATTGACCTGTGGATGGATACTTGGCTGGCTTCTACAGTTTAGCTATCATGATTAATGCTGTGGGCAAGGAGGTCCACATATCTTTTTGCAACCCTGCGTTCCATTTTGGGGGTCTGTATGCCGAGTAGAATTATCAATGGTAATTCTATTTTTAACTTTTTAAGGAATGGCCACAGTGTTTTCCACTATGGCTGTATTATTTTAAATTCCTATCAATGGTGTACAGTTGCTCTAATCTTATTTTCTGTTGTTTTTGTAAATAATGCCATCCTTCTAATGACTATAAGGTATTACTTTGTGGTTTGAGTTCCATTTTTCTTTTTGTTTTGTTTTTTGAGACAAGGTCTCACTATGTAGTTCAAGCTGGCCTTGAACTCACTATAGGACCCATACTATGGAAATCATGTGCTGTCACAACGCTTCTGCTTCTGCCTCAAACTCATAGTGATCCTCCTGCCTCAGCCTCTTGGTACTGGGGTTACAGCTGGACACCACCATGCTCAGCTGTCTATGTGTTTCTAATAATGGGTGTTGAATATCATTTCATGTGGTTCTTGGCTACTAGTATATCTTGTTTAAAATATGTCTGTTGAAGCCCTTTGCCCACTTAAAAAATTATTTATTTATTTGGGATACAGTGTGTCATGCAGCTCAGACTTGTAGTGATCCTCCTGTCTCAGCCTCCCCAGTGCTGGGATTACAAGCATGTACCACCATGCCCAGTTTCAGTAGCTGGCACAGCTCACCTGGGGTTCCAGGGTTGGCACTTGCCAGGCAAGTATGAGGCCCTGAGTTTGATTCCTTGTACCAAAAAAAAAAAAAAAGCTCATTCACAAACTATATCAACAACTTGTAGGAGGTGATACAGATAATTCGATAATTCCAGCCTCCAGAGCCTTAACTAAGTGCAACTGAGATGGATTTCCACGGCCAGAGTGAAGGAAACACCGCATAACTCGTCTTCTTTGTGCCAGATCTTCCTTCCTTTATGCTTATCAAATATTTCTTCCTGCTTTTCTTGACTTTGTCTGGGAATCATACAGAGAAACACCTAGGTATTCCCTTTGCCTGGCCTGGATGTCACCTGGAAGTATCTAATAATCAGGACGAGGTTATCCAATGTTGGTTCTATGAAGAAAAGCTGGACAGGGGGAGGTCAAGATCCTTGATATTTGGGTGCAGTCAGGGAAAGGGTCAGACAGGAAGATGGATAAGTACACACACCCTAAAACTGGACTCTTTTCCCCGGGGACAAACTGCTAAGCATTTGTTTTTTGACTTGGAGCCATGTAGATACATTTCCCAGAAAGCGAGGCTGATGTAAGCTTTTGCTCTCTTGAAGCTTGAAGATCTTCTGGGAGCTGGAGAGAGCTAGAGTCAGAGTCCACTCCACACAGACTCTGCCTTTAATCTGTGCTTTTAGGCAGCTTTCTTTCCCTTCAGGTAGTCTTTTCTTGCAACTCTCCTATGTGCAGGCAAACCTGGGACTCTCCAGGTGCCTAATTCCACTGACTGCCCCTGGAGGGCTTCCAGCTCTTGGTGTGTACCCAAACTCCTCCTTCTAAGTCTAGGATGAGGTGGGGGGGGGGCAATTGGGAGAGGAAGGGGATTTCCTCTGGTTTTAGAGTTTAGAGAGAGAGGCCTGGGCAAGCGAGGGGTTGGGGGAGTGGCGCCAAGCCTAGACTGCCCTCTGGCAGTAGCAAGGATGTGTGCAGGTGGTGAGGCAAAAAAAAAAAAAAAAAAAAAAAAAAAACAGTGAGGGCCTCAAGTTCGTTCTGTGGGCTAAACGTGGAATGGGATCTGCAACTATGTAGGGTGCTTCCTGAGACTCCAGACTCTGGGCCAGAGGCAGCATAAGGCAGGCTCAGCATGGCCACCAGGCAAAGGGCAACTAAGCTTGGTGTTCTGAAATCTCTATCCCAGAAGGAAAATGGAGCAACGCACACCACTGACAGGTTCCTCTTTCTCTACCTACAGGTCTTGTACTTCAGTGTTTCTTGGCCTGACAGCACCATCCCTCGGCCCCCAGGGCCCCGTCCTGCGCACAAATCTTCCATCTTTCTCTCCAGGACACTTGCCAATCTGACTCATCTTCTGCACTGGCCTCTGACTCCGGAACATAGAGGAGGCATTTTGGCCTCCACCAGTCCCCTGACTTCCACCTACCACCTGAGGGGTCCTTCCCAGGCCAGCTACACCCTGGGAGGCTACCTGGAGGCTGTCCTTGTGGCCAGGGACCACCGGGGCCAACGCAAGACCCATGGCGGAGATCTGTTTCGGGCACAGCTAGTGGGTCCTTATCTGAGTGCAGGGGTCCCGGGGGTTGTCCAGGATCTGGAGAATGGCACATACCTCTTGTCCTTCCCCTTGCTTTGGGCTGGCAGGGCCGAGGTACAAGTGCGGCTGATCCACTCCAGCGAGGCAGTTGGGGTTCTGCAGAGAGTCTGGAGAGAAGAAGGGGCCACAGTCGATTTCATAGGCTATTTCCGGGGACCCACAGGATATGAAGAACATGTGGCCTGCAATGTAAACCCCTTGTTGTTTGGGGAGGAAGAAGCTATCTGTTACTACAAGGATGAAGATTCTGGTGAACTCTGGTTCTGTACCCAGCCCCTAACCCTGCCCTGTGATTCATTAGTAGGACATTCAGCTGGACATTACTGGAATGTGACCGCACCACATGAAGATGCCCTGTTGGCATGGTAAGAAACCCACAACCAACAGAACTGTTACTTGGGTTTTTTTTGTTGTTGTTGTTGTTGTTTTAATTGCAGTACCAGAGATTGAATCCAAGACCTTCACACTGAACTACAACCCCAGCCTTTAAAAAAAAAAATCTTATTTTGAGATAGAGTCCTCCTAGTTTGCTAAATTGCTCAGGCTGGGCCAGAACTTGCAGTCCTCCTGCCTCAACCTCCTAGAGTGCTGGAATTATAGATATGCTCCACCATGCCCAGTAGCTTTTCCTTTAAATTCCAGCAGGTGGAGTCTTACAAATTAGAGGGTCCCATATGTCACAAAGACACGCCAAAAAAGCTGTTTATGAACCAGAGTTATCTCTATTACACAGGAGGGCCGGGAGGGCTCAGAACCCAGCGAAGATTATCATTCAAAGTGTGGTGATCTCAGCAGCACTGAACAGGCCCAGAAGATACTATTCCACTTTCCCCTTGTGTCCTAGAATTAGAAATCCTGCCATTTGTGCAGCATAACTCTACAATGCATAGACATGCTTTTATGCTGTGACAATGGTTGAGTGGGAGAAGCTTGTAAGCAAGAGAAACGATGAGGTCATTACCTTGGTCATTCTTTACTCTCAGACTCTTAAATAAGGAAGACTCACTTTGCTGGAAAGAGAAAGAAAGAAACCTGGTATCATCAGAGATTCCTAACCCAAGCCTTCACTCTTGGTCTCTGTGATTTTATTATTATTATTGTTATTATTATTATTATTATTATTATTATTAATCTTTTATAAGACAGGGTTGCATTATGTAGCCCAGGATGGCCTTGAAATTACTTTGTAGCCCAGGCTGGCCTTGAACTCATGGGAATCCTCCTGTCTCAGACCCCCGAATGCTGGAATTTCAGGTGTATACCATCACACCTCGCTATTTTTTTTGAGGGGGTGAGGAGTACCAGGGATTGAAGTCAGGACATTGCATTTTCCAGGCCAGTACTTATGCCACTGAGCTATCCCTCCAGCTCATCTCTTTATATCTATTAAACCCTTTCTGAGTACCTGTGTCAGGTGTTCTGGCTTGATCTGAAATAGACCCAGAAGTCTTGTGTACTTGGAAGGTGATCGGGGTGCTGTACCCATCCATGGACTCATCCAGTGAGTGCAGTCCCTGCCTGGGCTGTTAGCAGATGGAGCTGGTGGCGGTTCGCTGGGGTGTGGCCTGGAATGGTGTGTTCTCATCTACATTCTCCCTTCTCTTTCTCTCTCTGCTTTCTGGCTGCCACGGGCTGAGCACCTTGTCCTCTGCTGTGCCCCTCTGCCACCCCTCTCTGCCTTGGACTCAGCTGCCAGATGACTGAAATCACAAGATAAACCTCTGCTTTGTATTGTGGGTATTGGGCATTGTGTCCCCGTGATGAGAAAGTGACCAAGACACCAGTCCCATCCTAAGTGCTTGCGATACACAGTAGCATCCCTGCCTTCTTCAAGTATTCATGGTGGTGCACAGCTTTTCTATACATTCAGTGTAATGTGTGACTCTGGTCAGCAGGAAACAAACCCATGGCTCAATACAGGAGGCAGAAGGCGTGTCATGTGGAGGTAGAGCCATGTGCCTCTGGGCCAGGGTTACTTGAGTTTGAAGCCTTGCCCTTGTGGTACTGTCAGTTGCCATTTAGATCATCTTTGATTACTCAGGTTTAAGGAATTTAACCTTTCTGTACCTCAAGGTTTTTTGTTTTTGAAGGGGATGATAACAATGCCCATGTTGTAGTTACTCTGGGGAATAAATGAGTCCAGTGGATATAAAGTACTTAAAATAGAAGGTGCACAGTGGACTTTGTTAGCATTTATGGTCTTAGCCTGTAACCCTTGAACGCCTTCTTATTCTGCTGTCTCACTCTGGCCTGGCCATGCTGCTGGAGACCCTGAGGCTGGGAGAAGGTGGGAAGCGGCCCAGTTCTGCAGCAGCTAACAGCAACAAACAGATAACCTCAAGTATGGTGAACATGCATCAGATAGGAATTTGACATCCCAGAGGTAACTGTTGTCTTTACATGAACTGTAATCCAATTGTGAAGATTTCCAAGGCCATGGGGCTGGGGAGATAGCTCAGCAGCATAAGTGCCTGCCTGGCGAGCACAAGGTCCTGAGTTCAATCCCTAGTATTGAAAAAAAAAAAAAAGATTTCTGTGGCCAAGTAGGTAGGGAGGGGAGCCTGCTCGACCATCAGGAGTCCTTCTCTAGTCCTCTGTCCGCACTGCTCACCTCAGCGTACCCCCTGTCCAAGCCTGTGTGGCTTGGAGGCTCTGGGTGGACAGGCTCCTCCCTGTCAATCTGTTAAGCTGCCCTATAAAGAGAAGGGATGATAAACAATAAACATAACAGTAGGTGAGTTACACAGAATATCAAGAGATGTGTGACACAGAAAACTTAAAAATATAAAGAAGGAGCCCAGGGTGCTGGTACATGTCGATCATCCAAGCACTCTGAGAGGCTCAGGCAGGAGGATTGTAAGTTTGAGCCCAACCAGGACAACAATGAGACACTATATGAAATTTTTTTAATGAGCTAGGCATGTAGTTTAGTGCAAATGCCCTGGGGTATTATATTATATTACACTATTATATATACATATATATGTATATATATAACTTTATATAAATGAGCATATTTATAAATGGAGAGGGAGAGAATGACTCCAACTCTGGGTATGAAGGTGCACCCCACCACTGAGAGGCTGAGGCAGGAGGATTGCAAGTTCCAACTCAACCTGAGCAAACCAGTGACTTGTGAGACTGTCTCAAAATTTTTAAAAACTTTTTTTTTTTGGTACCGGGAATTGAACTCAGGAACTTGCAGCAACTTGTGCCACTGAACTATCTTGGCCCTTAGAAATAATTTTAAAGGGCTGAAGCTGTAACTCATTGCAAAGGCCCTGGGTTCAATTCCCAGTACTGAGACCAAAAATAATGGAGGGAAAATTAGGAATGAGCCTGATGGGCAGGTTATGGAAGCCTCAGGGAGACTGAGAGGATGAGGGTCCTCGGTGAGGAGGCGAGAGATGAGATGCCTTGGACTCAAGTTGCAGTGGTCAAGGTATATATAACGCGGCCCATTCCTGGATGGATTCTAAAGGCAGAGACCACTGAATTACCTGAGAGACAAAATGTGGAATGTGCCAGCGAGAAAGAAGGAAGGAGAGAGAGAGGAAGGAAGGAGCCAGAGAGAGGGAAAGAGAGACAGATTTAGAACTTACAGATGTTCCCATTTGTCTTCCTGAAAGAGTAAAGTTGAGGGGCCAGGGAGATGGCTCAGTAGAATAAGCGCTTCCCTGGCAAGCACAAGGACCTGAGTTCAATCCCCGGTTCCACCAAAAAAAAAAAAAAAAAAAAAAAAGAGTAAAGTTGCCATCAGCTGAAACGGGACAAACTATAGGTGAGGCAGGTGGGGGCAGAGACTGGGGGTCTAGGTGATCATGTACAGACGTTGTACAGATATGCTGAGCAGACATTTAGGTACAAAAGTCTGGAATTAGGCAGAGGAGGTAGGAAACTCAACTGGAGCAGACTTGGTGAGACCGAGGAGAGCTAAGACTTCTTACAAAAGGCTCCAGCATCTTTTTTGTATTGTGTGTATGGTAGTTCTTATTGTTTTTGTTGTTTTGAGACAGGATCTCACTATGGAGTTTAGGCTGGCCTCAAGCTTACAAATACCTTCCTGCTTCAGCCTCCCAAGTGCTGGGATTACATGTGTGCACCACCATGCCCAGCTGTGTTTTACTTTTCTATACTTTATAATGCTTTGAAGGTGTGAGGCCTTGTAGACCTGGGAGGAAATGCCTCAGACCGGACTGTACCAAGGACTTTGCCCAGACCTGCTGTTGTTGTTGTCATCATCGTCCTCCTCCTCATTCTGGGAATTGAACTCAGGACTTTGCACTTGCCAGGCAGGTGCTTATGCCGCTCACAAATTGTCTTTTCAGTGAGAATTATTTTTTGTTCTGTTGATTTAATCCTACTTACCTCAAACCTAAATCCTTGCTTTGCAGTTTAGGCTGGACTTGAACTCGCCATGTAGCCCAGGCTGACCTTAAACTCTCAGCAATTCTCCTGCCTCAGCCTCCTGAGTGCTGGTATTAAAGGTGTGTTGCCACCACACTTGGTTTTCTGGATATGTTTTTAAACAATTCTGCCTTCTGCACTCATGATTGCGTGAGACAATAATAATAATAATAATAATAATAATAATAATAAATGCTCAAACAGTAGCTTCCCAACCCCTCTCTCCCTCCCAAGCCCTGTCTTCAAGATTCTTGATATTAGAAAAGAAGGCTTTGAGTTTGAGAACTTCCTTTCTTCCAAGAACCCCTGCTTGGCCTCAGTCTGAGAGTCCTGCTCACACACTTCCAGTTTTACCAATTGGCTTCTCTTTAGGAATCTGACAGACAAGGTCCTCCCTCAGGGTATTGGCCCAGTCCACGTATCCAAGGAAAGCAACAGGAACCTGGGTAAGTAGCACTGGGGCTTGAAGAATGGGCAGCATTCATTTCAGGACTGAAACAGCCTCCTCTGCACCCAGTGTTGCTCTGTTGCAGTTCTGTCTCCTGAACAACCGTGCTACCCTGGGATCCCAAACCCGAAGCCTTCTGGCTTCTACCACAGAAATGTGTGGCACTCTCTGGCCTGCTCCAGCCGTTCCTTCCCCACAGCCGACAGCATCCTGGGCTGCCTGGCCGGCCGCATTGTCCACATGATGGGGGACTCCACGCTCCGGCAGTGGTGGGAGTATCTGCGTGACACTGTGCCCTGTGAGTACTGAGTATTCTACTCCCCCGCTAGACCTAAGAGAACAAGAGGAGAAATAGGGCTGAAAGAAACTAGAACATTATACCAGTGGGGCAGAATGTGGATTGGATTTCATGAGACTGATATGATTCGGAACAGGGGAGAGGCTGGAAAGCAAGGTGCTCAGAGTATGCAGGATCCCAGCTATGAAGTATACTACTGGGGGCTTGTAAAAATGAGAGAACAGCTGAATATACAACCATGGCTGGAACTGAGCATTTGTTGGGGAGATGTAGAATGGTTAGAATTCAAGGGAAATGGAATTTAAGAGAAATAAAGATTTAGTGGTTAAGTTTTAAGGCAGCATTTTTTTCCCAATTTATTTTTATTTATTTTTTTT